CCGTTCCACAAAAGTAAGGAATGGGATCCGAGGCTCCGATCTACGGCAACGATCAAAAATCAAAGATGCCGTTCTGTGCGGTAAACTGTCGATGGTAAGGTGGGCCGGACACGTAATGCGTATGAATGACAACTGATGGACAAAAGCCGTTAGTGGCTGGATTCCATGGAATGTCAAACGTGATGCAGAAAGACCACCGACCCGATGGTCAGAATTCTTCACAAAGAGCCTTAAAGAAAGATATGATGCTCGACGAGTCCCTAGAACGAGCAGAACCCACTAGGCTACTCTTGCACGCGACAGGGAAGAATGGAAGACTTACTGGCGCCCGCTGGGGTCACGCGAAGACCAGCAGGACTACAGGTGGTACAGTTGATACTAACAGCCTAATTAGCAATAACCTGTCAAGAAAAATGATCTGGGAAGCAGGCTCGAGGTCCGACTTTTGCAAACGTCTCAGCGTTATCGTTGTTATAATTATTTACCTAATATTATTGGTGCTTCATTTTTATCATTTGTTACTCTTCTTTGAGAGAACGTAAATTATGGTAGGATCAACCAATAAAACTCTTAAGGAAACGTTTTTGGAAGCTTTTTCAGGCGATGTACCTCTAACCTCTCAGCACTCGTTTTCATCGTCGAAGGAAGACAGAGATGACAAGGAACATCTGGAAGAGCCATTTTCCATTTTTCACGTCTACCAGCAGCGATGTCTGCCTGGATACGCTCGCATTGCCAGTAAAATTTTACTTTATTACACAAAGATGAATCGACTACCAGAATAAATCGGAAGTTGAATTGGTGTTGAACTGCGTGCCTCATTCGATTTATCCCACAATTTTGACGGCACTTTGCTTACCCTTAAAAACTTACGCAATCTGAATTTGTTCGACTTTGCGACTTGGTTTCCTGGAGAATGGTGGTTAAACTCGGGCAAGATTTAGTCTGTTGACGACGTCTATAACATGATTAGGGTACTATTATTTATTGATTAGGAAAATTCTGTGAAAACTAATGAAAGCATAGAAAAATACCCAAATTACCTGTGGGACCGATTCCGCCGGCTGGTGGAATGTACACAGTCAACAGCACTGGCTTTCGAATTCTCGAAGCTGAAGTTAATTTTCGGATTTTCATTTTCTGTCACATCTATTCATGATAAGTATTGCTTACATGAACGACTTTTTCTTTGAACTCATCGATGTAAGCGTTATGACCTTTGACTACGTTTTGATGGATAGAAGGATAAAGGATGAAGCTCTCCGCGTTGATCAATCCCTGAGGGATGCGCCATGCATTCGGTTTTATTGAGCATCGTTTGGAGGTGATTGAATGCATATCTGGCTTTTACAATGATTTGCGGTGGCCTACCGATGTATCGAGCCAGTGCTGCTATCCTCCGAGACAAGTCTGGTACCAATTTACCGACCCGGGAGGAATGGAAGGTTCGCTTGGTCGTGGGTGCGGGAATTGATTCTACGTGTGTGCTGCAGGGCGCTTTCGTCCACTGCGCCACACGTGCCCTATGTTTTGATGAAGAATATTTAAATATGTTTGTTTTTACACGTGCTTTAGTAGCACCTCTTACTGTGTGTGTATCCACTGGCTTACACAGTCATGAACTAAAGTAGTGGAACAGTGCTTCCTTATTATCAAATATTAGTGTTCTCCCATGAAAAGCGTGTGTAATAGCAAAGCCCAAAGTCTACATCGTCGAACAGCTCAGAGAATACAATCCATATGATTGCCATGCTGAAAAATCTTTGCTTGATATTTCTGCCCGTATTTTTACCTGCATTCGAATAACAAGGCGCGCCTGTAACGCTGTAGTTAGAGGCGCCCTACAATACATATAACTTCAGTCGCGCTGCCCAGGCTTACCAAGTCTTCCATCTCTCTATGGGCGACAAATTGGTGCAAGATCTGTCTAGGAACACAGCAGCACTGATTTGATGCATCGGCAAGCCACCATGAATTAAAGTATAGGTCAAATAAATATCCAATCACCGCTAACGCTGCCTAAAGAAGTCGAATGCATGGCGCATCCTTGAGAAACTGATCAGTGCTCAGAGTTCTATTCTATTTTTCATTCGGATAACACCTCTATCTTCTGCAATCCCGTTTGTAGTTGCGTAAGAGTGGTAACTTGGTTGCGTAAGAGTAACGCCTCCATCTGCCCCTATGGTACGAAAAACCATTCAACTGCTTCTACAAGGTACACGCCCATATTTTGTTACGCTTTTTCTTTACAAGACCATCTATTTTTCATCGATTTTTTAGTGTTTTGTACCCACATGTAGCTCGTCGGACTTTATCATGACTTTACTTCTAGCTCGATTCTTGAATAGAAGTCCGGAATTCATTTTAGCTTTGGTGGTCCTTTTGATAGAATGAACACTATTGGGCGTCGCAAATCGGCAACCAAGAAGACCTACTGTTCACGAGTAAATTACGAAATAATAAATAGTTAGGAAAGCCATTTGTATGACTAGCCAAAATCCAAAAATTCTCATAGAAAGAAGGTTTCCCAACAGGGAGGAGCCGTTCAACCTTCGCAAAATCGTGGTTCATTCCCTCCGTGCTAAACTGCAATCGCATTGAGGTCGGGAAATTGACGCCAGACTTCTATGAGATCATCTCGCTCCCTCCATTCAAAAAACCTGACAAATTCCTATGATGAAGATGCTGGAACTCCATAGGTTAGCTATTACAGATTCCCATAGTGAAACAAACCGTCCAATATTCAACATCATTTGGAAAACCAAATGTCGTTAAGTAGCAGTCGAATTACGGCCTAAATCTGAAGACCTTCGTCTATCAAGGAAGCGAGTAACGATGAGCAAATGGTTGACATCGAGAACTCTCGCTCTCCAGAAAACCTTGAAGAGTTTTCTTGCTGTTTTGATCAACCTCATAGTATCACAGGTTAAATAAACAATCACTCAGTACCATAACACAAAATTAGAAGAATAATACTAGGACTTCAGCCCTATTTGATAATCGCTAGCCGATGAGAACATAATTGAATGCACTCAATTAAGATTACCTGGCTGTTTTCTAGGTACGATGGACCACGTGTTGCGGACGGCTTCTTCAATCTCTTCTCTCCTTTCCAATCAGTCAAACCCCTCGACTGCTAGGGACCTATTGGAGAAGACAAACGTGTTCATTCAAATAATTGAAGCCAGTCCGTGCGCACAGCATCTACCAAAATACGTACGCATTTTAGCATATTGCTCCTTTGATTGTTCACCGAAAGTATCATCATATTTCCACCTCAGTATATAGACTTAACACATTTGAAGTATACCACTTGGATACTTACTTGGGTGTTCGGGTGGGCCATCTTCACTCGCCGTTTGAGTGAACTAACTTCCATTCTTCGGAGACTTGCTGACTTAGCTCTAGTGGTTGCTGGAGTCGCAGGGTCAGCCTAGTCCGAAGCTCCCCACAAGTCGTCACCATTCTAGGCAGTCGCTACCCTCGTGGATCAAAGGGTAGTTTGCCACCACGCGACTAGTTTGATATCAGGACGATGATGATTCCTGGTATTCGTTAAATCTCCGCTGTGCTTTCGAGTGGAAGCGTCGGGCTCCTTTTCAGCTTGAGAGATCCTACTGGGAGGACGAACTCAACGCTGTACATCGTAGCGCGACACCCAGAACATCTCCCAGCCATGATGAGGCGGTAAACCGTTGAGATGGGAGTCTTTTATTAGAGAATAAATTTAGGGAAACCATTACGAAAAATACTTAGTATGTTGTTCCTCGCAGTGAGGAAAAAAGTCTTCGAATGGAATTGCAGGACACGAGCGTTGTAAAATTACAAGTGAACGATCTACAACGAGAATCATCAGAATCCGGGCGCCCATTAGGAATCACTAACTATTTTACTGTCGCCTTGAGAAAGATGATCGAGCAAGTTTTGCAGATATTTTGCAAGGTCAGTTTCAATAAATTCGCAAGTACTGCGTTATCTTAACGCAGCAAAAAAATGGAGAGAAAAGTGGGAGGCCAGGTTAGAAACCCATTACTGAGGTAAGTCGCTAGTGATTGAAAATTTGTTGTGAAATATAACCTCAATGATGCTGAGATATTTGCAAAACTCCGGACCGCAGGTGTATGCGGTGGGGAACGAACGCGCTACTCCCCGGAAAGCACAATAGCACGTTCGTTCCCCACCGCATACACCTGCGGTCCGGAGTTTTGCAAATATCTCAGCATCATTG